AATCCCAACACACGGCAATGCCTGTTGTCCCAGTATACACACGAGCAAACCCACAGATTCAGGCAACCTTCTTTCCAAGGCTCTTGCACGCTCCATAGCAGGAGCCCGTGCCTTCTACATCACCTTGGCTTTCCGACGGATTCTCTACTTCCATTGGACCCCGGTACAACTATCCCCGACTAAACCCCCTCACTGAATCTGCGCCCCGAACTCTCACTTCTCAAAGCCCCTTCGCTCAAGAGTGAATCCCCTTTCTTGGCCGTTTGATCTCCTGACCAGACGTGTCCTCTCGCCTCACTGATCTTCTCGGCCGGTTTCCTCTTAAGACCCCTACCTCACACGGGCGGCCCCTTCTCGTTCCCGCCGCGGGTGCGTCCGTTGGGGACCGCGAACGGGAGCGCGCCTGCGCACTGGGACCCTCACCCTAACTGCAGCGTGCGCCCCCAGGGGTGGCTGTGGGGGGCTCTCGCGCTCCCACACACGCACACTCCGCCAGGGATCCCAGGGGTGGGCGGGGAGGGGGAGAGGGAAAGGAGAAGGGGGAGAAGGAAGGAGGTAAAAAGGGCGCAGCTGACACGAGCCGGGAGCACCCCCGGCTCCGCGGACACTTCCTATTGTTACTAGGAAACAGGAAGTGTTCTAGCCGCAAAAGCTTCCCCGCGAAACCTCCCCCTGGAGAACACTTCCTGACCCGCCTCCGAGCACCCAGTCTGCGCAGACACACTTCCGGTGCTAAGCCAAAATAGCCGAAATGCTCCTCAGGCTCCGCCCACACAGGTCAAAGCGCCGGTCGTTTCTGTAACCTCCGCCACACTTCCGGCAGGAGCAGCGAGCGTGGGTCCGGTCCATTTTGGCTGAACGTGGATGAGGGAAAAGGGTTCTGCAGACATAACCTCAGTACTTTGGTGACACTTTGCGAGGGGCTCCCTGAAAAACCCAAGACAGATGGAGGGAGCTTTATGCACTCCTCGCTGTGAAGGGAAATGTAGAATATGAGGACTTGGGCACTACAAGCTTGAACATGGCCTATCTGTCCTCCCAGCTTATAGTTGTTGGTGGTCTGGCAGGGTCCCGGTGTACATAGTAAGCCTGTCCGGCATCCCCTGTCTTTAACCCCCACAGAGCCCCCCCTGCGACTTATTCCTCTGCCACCCTCGATAAACTCTGTGGTCTTCCCTGTCGGTGAAGCTCCCTTCCACTTCCGCCCGCCGGTCCCGCCTCTCCGTCCCCCCCACCCCCGCTCCGCTGGGTCCTAGCGCCGGCTCCTCCCTGCAGCGTCTGGGCTCCGCTGGTGAGCGGAGCTGTAGCTGACGCCACGGAGCCAGCCCAAGTCCGTCAGGTAGGAAACGTCGGCGGGAAGCCGCGGGGACCCCCAGGCGTCCCCAGCGCGGATAAAATCCGAACGGACCTGTTTCCCTGTGGGTGCTGAGGGCGGATGGGGTTGGCCCGGCGCGAGCGGCGCGGGCGGGGCGGGAGGAGTGCGGCCCCGGGAGGGCGCGGGCGCGCTGCGGGCCCAGCGGGTCCTAGAACCCGCCGGCTGTCCTCGCGGGCCGGCTGTCCTCGCGGGCCGGCTGCTGCGGACGCCCGGGCTCCGCCGGCGCGGCCGCCCGCCTCGCGCGGCGCGGGCCCGGGGGTCCTAGAGCCCGCCACGTTGCGGGCTTTTGTCCCTGGCGCTCAGCCCGCCTAGCGAGAGCCGCGGCGCCCGCGGCCCCCTCCCTGGCCGAGGTCCTGGCCACCCCGCCCGCGGTCCTAGAGAACGCCATTTTGCAGGTCTTTGTCCGGCCCCGGCTCTCGGTCCCATTCATTTGTTCATTCTGTCATCCTTTGTCACCCCGGGCCACGTTCTCCAAGGCCACGCTTCCCGGGGCTCATTCCTAGACGAGGCCGCTCAGGGCCCTGGCCCGAGCAGACCCCTAGGCGGTTGCAGGGGCGAGAAGCGCAGCGTTTCTGCAGCTCTCGGCTCCTCAGCGGATCTGCTAGGCCTAACGCCCTTCAAACTCCCGCCTCCCTCAAGAAAACGGGGGCCTAGTGCCGGGGCGCCCCTACTTCCACCGCCTGTTCCTGAGGGCAGTGGGGCACCGGTATTGATTGGAAGGATGCAGAAGAGTTTTCCCATGAGAGAAGGAAAACCGAGGCAGAGGGCAATGCGGGTGGAGGTGCAGTCAGGTGGAAGGTTTGAGAATTGTGGCTGGAGCTTAGGTTGCTGTAAGGAGGGGCAAACACCCTGAGCTGAGGCTGGGAAAGTGGGTTGGGGTTCGGTTGTGAACTGACCAGATTGGAGGCCTAGGAGATCATTAATTTTCTCCTCTGCACGCACTGTTCATACTTACACGTCTGCCATCTCACCGAGGGTGTGAGGCCTGTGGGTGACTATTTGCTTAGACATGGGAGACTAAGGTGCAGAGACTATAAAATGCGGCTCCTTTCTCGTCTCACCCCAGCTCCCAGGGTCCTCGCCTAGACTCCCCAGGAATTAAGTCTCTGCACCCCCTTCAGGTAGCAGGACCTCATCCCTCTCCTAAGCCAGCAGTGAAGCCAGACAAGCCTTCCTCACTTCAGCAGTGAAGCCAGTGCGGGAAAGAGGCGTGATGCTGTTTGGACTCGGGAACACGGACGCAGAGACATTAATTAGTAGTTGTTGATGGCCAGTCTCACACATGCCTGCTGTGGGGAAGGCAGAGGCTAGAGGCCTGGGTCTGATTTGTGTCTCAGAGGTTGATTCTTTCCGTTTGTTCTGGGGCACTCGTCACCGTTCTAGGTGTAGTGGGTACAGAATAAGGAAGGTTCCCGGCTCTTTGCCAGCCTAGATTCTTGTGCTGGAGACAGAGAATTAACAACTAAGCCATAAAATGTGTAAGTGCTATCAAAGTAATAATCAGGGGACAGAGAGCAAAGTTTGGGAGGCAGGCCTTCTAGCTTTGAATACTGGCTGTGACTATCACTACTTCATTTCCATGTGCCTCAGTGCCCGTGTCTGTGATGTGGGGGGCATCACTGTCTAGCTTAGCCTATTCAGACTGCCAGAGCAAAAAAACAGGCTGGGGGCTTAAGCAACAGGAATTTGTTTCTCACCATCCTGGAGGCTGGGAAGTCCAAGATCAAGGTGCTGGCCAGTTCCTGGAGGGGACTCTTCCTGGCTTGCAGGCATGCACATGTCCAGTCTGTAACCAACTTCTAGGCAGCTGTGAGACAGCTTGAGTGGTACACATAGAATTCTGAGAATGATACCTGGCCGGGGCTGAGCTTGCAAGAAGGAACGCTATCCGTGTGAGCACCACAAAGGAGATGAAAGGGGGGGAGGACAGAGTGAGTAGCAGGGGCGCCGATAGCTTTAAGAAAGATGGTCTGGAAAGCCCTCTGAGAAAGTGACAGGGACCCGAGACCCAATAAAACCAAAGAGATGTTCCACAAAGAGCCTTGGGGCAGCGGTTCTGGCAGAGGGGACTGTGTGCCAAGGCCCTGAGGAATCTGGCTCTCTGAGGAAAAGAGAGGAGCCTGTGCGGGTGGAGCTTAGTGAGACCGGAAGAGGAATGGACGTTGAGGTAGGCAGGAGTTACATGGTTCAAGGCCTCGCTGGCCACGACAGAGATACTGGCCTTTGTCCTGGGGACAGTGGAAAGCCTTACGATTTGGCTAATAAGCCTTAAGGAAATGAAGACAGCCAGAGAGCGAGCCCAGCCCAGAGGCCTAAGGACTTGGGTTTGAGTCAGGGCTCCTTGCCTAGCTGTGTGTTCTTGGCAAGTTTCTCCCTCGTGGGGCTTCATACACATCTGGAAACAAGGGGAAGACGCCTTTCTCTAGAAGCTGTGAAGACCCAAGGATTGGTCTTCGGTTCCTAAATGTTGCGTGTTAACTGGAATGACCCAGAAAGTGTGTTCACGGTGAAGATTTCTGTCCTGCCCCACCTCCCTGGATGGGCATTCTCGGCCAGGGGTTCCCACACCTGTCGGGGAGACACCACTGCAGGGAGCGGTAGGGGAAGAGGCCTCACTGAGCTGAAGCGAGGATTTTAGACAGAGGCCTCGCCTGGCCCTCGCTCTTCATGGAGCTGGGCGCCTGCTGGGACCAACCTGGTGCTCCCCAGCTTGTCCCCTGGGACGTGCCTTAGGCGGATTTACCCACCCAGCTCTCTGGTTTCTGGTTCACCGACAGGAAGATAGGCCCAGAGCTAAAAATCCGGGGTCCAGCCCTCAGAGAGGGGAGCGGACATACAGGATTCCGGCTCTGGTCTCAGGGCGGTTCTGCAAGGATGGGAGAAGGCAGAGGTGCAGCCTGAGCTCAGAGTCCGGTCCGTGGGGTGGGCCCACGTGGCAGACAAGACTGAGAGCCTAGGTAACCGGGAAAGGACCCGACAACTCAGGCAAGTTAAACAGCTAGGCTCACCTCCCAGCTGCGAGTTACTAGGCGTGGCCGTGGGCTAGTTGTTAAGCACAGGCCGTATTGTTTCTCTGGGCCTCGGTTCTCTTACCTGTGAAAAGGGAATAATAATAGTACTTTCCAAAAATAATAATAATAATAATAATAATAATAGTACTTTCCTCATGGTGTGGGCAGGAAGTTTAAGTGAGTTAAAACATGTAAAGAGCTTCGGTTACTGCCTATTATTTAGCAAGTGCTTTGTAAATGTGAGCTATCATTTTTTTAATTAAAGAGAAACTTGATCCGTCGGGCTGTCCAGAGATGGCCTGGAAAGGAGGGAGTGAGTGCCTCATCCGGAGATACGGAGAGATCCCCTGGAAAGTTGGTTCTCAAGCCCTTTAGCTCACTTTCCAACCCCAGAATTTAGTGGGAAAAGTAAAACAACAACAAGGTGCTGGTGGACAGCGTTGGGTGGGATTGGGGCCAAAACCAAAGCGGAGTCGCAGGAGCTTCCTGGGTGAAGGGCTCACAGGGAGGGCTGACGGGGCTGGCAGCAGCAGGAAGGACCTGGGAGCTTGCCTGGCGTGGAGGAAGCCATGGAGCGGCGCCTAGTGCTTTAGGGCGGAGACGCCGGCCGCCTGTGTCCACTGGATTGTGTATGGGGTGGGGGCCTCCAGGGCGCTGGCTCTAAAGATGCAGTCATTGCCGCTCCCTCTGGGGGCTCCAGTGCCCTCCCTGGACCATCACTTAGAAGCCACCAAGCCCTGAGGTGAACAGATAGGGGAACAGGCTTAGAAAGGAGCAGAGGAAGAACCGGCCCCCTACCTCCCAGCCCAGCTCCTGGGCTCTTCAGGCTCCCTTTCCCACTGCAGGTCGTCACCCACCCGGGCCGCCCCAGCAGCTCTGCCGAGCACTCCTTAAGTGGATCTGCCCTAATCCTCTCCCTTATCCCCCGGGAGGATGAGCTGGTGTTAGGGCTAATGCAGCTGCTAATCCTATTCCCGCCAGCCTGAGCCACAGGAACAGCTGTGCGGACGGCATCTGGCTCTGATGCCGCCCAGCCCTCCGGTTTCTGGTTCACAGATGGGAAAACTGAGAATGAAGGGTCCTCGGCTGGAGTGGGAGCCCAGGAGCCAGATCAGATACATCCATTATGGCTCAGAGGCTTCTAACCGCTAGCGCTGGTTCACGCTGCCTAGAGAGTGACAGCTTCCTGTGACCAGAGCCAGGGGAGCGGGAGCCACAGCGATTCCAGGGCCGGGGTGGCCAGGATTCCTGTCTGGGGTGGAGTCCCTTAGAGCCGTGCGAGGCCGGGGTTCTGAAAGCTAACCAGCCAGAGTGGAGAAACAAAATGCATACGCTGGGCCTGTCACTTCCAGACAGATCCCAGTCACCACAGCGAGCCCACTGGCTTCGCCCGCTCTGGGGCCTCCCTCTGCCTTCCCTGGGCACTTGGAGACCACAGCTGTGTCTGCAGCCTTGCCTAGGACCTGCGTCCTGGCACAGGCCGTGGATGCCGAGCTGAAGAAGGATGGTGGGAAGGATGGAACCAGGGTGTTCTGGGAAAACTCGGGCCGGGAATGAAGCGCAGGCAGACATGGGGATGAAGCCAGCCTCCTCCCCTAGTCGTCCTGAAGTCACCAGTCCGACTTCTCTCCTCAGTGAGCAGACCCGAGAGGAAACGGGCAGGTCAGAGCCAGGGATGTTGGGAAGGAAGGATGTGGCTCTCCGGGGGGAAAGTGCAGATAAGTTGGGTTCCCACTGAGGCCCCACGGGGCTTTGGTGCCGGGAGAGGCCTTGGAGAGTGGCAGAGGGCTGTGGCTTCTGTCTGACTTGGCTTCTCTCACAGAGCTCTGCCCGTCGAGGCCATGGAGGTGGAGTCGGTGGAGGCCCGGGCCCCGGGCCCCGGCTACAAGCGCTCGGGCCGCCGCTACAAGTGCCTGTCCTGCGCTAAGACGTTTCCAAACGCGCCCCGGGCGGCCCGCCACGCCGCCACCCACGGGCCCGCGGACGGCGCGGAGGAGGCGGCAGAGGCGAGGCTGAAGCCAGAGGCGGAGTCCGCAGCGGAGGACGCCGGCGGGGACAAGGCGGCGGGGGCAGCCGCCAAGCCCCGGCCGTACGCGTGCCCGCTGTGCCCCAAGGCCTACAAGACGGCGCCGGAGCTGCGCAGCCACGGGCGCAGCCACACGGGCGAGAAGCCCTTCCCGTGCCCCGAGTGCGGCCGCCGCTTCATGCAGCCCGTGTGCCTGCGCGTGCACCTGGCCTCGCACGCCGGCGAGCTGCCCTTCCGCTGCCCGCACTGCCCCAAGGCCTACGGCGCGCTCTCCAAGCTCAAGATCCACCAGCGCGGGCACACGGGCGAGCGGCCCTACGCCTGCGCCGACTGCGGCAAGAGCTTCGCCGACCCCTCGGTGTTCCGCAAGCACCGGCGCACGCACGCCGGCCTGCGGCCCTACGGCTGCGAGCGCTGCGGCAAGGCCTACGCCGAGCTCAAGGACCTGCGCAACCACGAGCGGTGAGGCCTGCGGCGCTGGGGGAGCGGGCTGGGTGGTGGCGGGACAGCGGGGCTGCCCTGGGCCAGAGTGGCCTGGGCCTGGGTCTGGGAGCAGAATGAGCGGTGGGAAGGTGAGTGGGTGGAGCTGTGGGCAGTGTTGGGCAGGGGGTGGGGCTAGTGCTCCCGGGTCGGTTGGGTTGGTGGGTGGGTGGACAGGACATGGGGGGCAGGCTGATCTGGGATGGGGTCTGGAGGAGGCAGGGGGGTCTGATAGGCCTGGGTTCTCGGACATCAGGAAAGGGGCCGGGCTTGAAGTTGGGTCGCTGCTAGAGACCAGGATGGGTGCATGGGGCCTGGAAAGCCTAGGTCTCTGGAGGGCAGAGAGGGGTGTTTTCTGGAATCTAGATACGCGAACTGAAGGTTTCTTACTCCGGGGTACAGCTCTGGATCTTAGGGGGTTGGGCCAAGCTCCCCAGGACCGGAGGGCCTCCTACGTTCACCGTGCAGACGGCGAAGGGTCAGGCGCCCGGCCTGCCACCTTCATCCGCTTCCCCAACTCCCACAGGTCCCACACGGGGGAGCGCCCCTTCCTCTGCTCCGAGTGCGGGAAAAGCTTCTCCCGATCGTCCTCGCTCACCTGCCACCAGCGCATCCACGCCGCGCAGAAGCCCTATCGCTGCCCCGCCTGCGGCAAGGGCTTCACGCAGCTCAGCTCCTACCAGAGCCACGAGCGCACCCACTCGGGCGAGAAGCCCTTCCTGTGCCCGCGCTGCGGCCGCATGTTCTCCGACCCCTCCAGCTTCCGGCGCCACCAGCGGGCACACGAGGGCGTGAAGCCCTACCGCTGCGAGAAGTGCGGCAAGGACTTCCGGCAGCCCGCCGACCTGGCCATGCACCGGCGGGTGCACACCGGCGACCGGCCCTTCAAGTGCCCGCAGTGCGACAAGACCTTCGTGGCCTCCTGGGACCTGAAGCGCCACGCGCTGGTGCACTCGGGCCAGCGGCCCTTCCACTGCGAGGAGTGCGGGCGGTCCTTCGCCGAGAGGGCCAGCCTCACCAAGCACAGCCGCGTGCACTCGGGCGAGCGCCCCTTCCACTGCAGCGCCTGCGGCAAGTCCTTCGTGGTGTCCTCCAGCCTGCGGAAGCACGAACGGACGCACCGGAGCAGCGAGGCCCCGGGCGCCGCCCCGCAGCAGGAGCTGGTGGTGGGCCTGGCGCTGCCCGTCAGCGTGGCTGGCGAGGGCTCGGCGGCCCCCGCGGCAGGGCCAGCGCTGGGGGACCCTCCGGCCGGGCTGCTGGGGCTGCCCCCGGAATCGGGCGGCGTGATGGCCACCCAGTGGCAGGTGGTGGGCATGACGGTGGAGCATGTGGAGTGCCAGGATGCCGGGGTCGGGGAGGCGCCTGGTCCCCTGGCGGGGACGGGCGAGGAGGCGGACGAGAAGCCTCCGCAGTTCGTGTGCCGGGAGTGCAAGGAGACGTTCTCCACGCTGACTCTGCTGCGCAGGCACGAGCGCTCACACCCGGAGCTCCGGCCCTTCCCCTGCACCCAGTGTGGCAAGAGCTTTTCAGACCGGGCCGGGCTGCGCAAGCACAGCCGCACGCACAGCTCGGTGCGCCCCTACGCCTGCCCCCACTGCCCCAAGGCCTTCTTGAGCGCCAGCGACCTGCGCAAGCACGAGCGCACCCACCCGGTGCCCATGGACACCCCCGCGCCTCTCGAGCCACTGGTGGCTCTGCTGGGAATGCCTGAGGAGGGGCCGGCCTGAGCCCGTGGCCCTTCCTCCGAACTCCCCGGGGTTCGGCCCATGGGGTGCCTCCTGCGCCGCCCTTTGCCCAGCTCACTCTCCAGACGCCAGGCCCCTGTCCCCCAAGCAGCAGCTCACCTTCCGGGCAAAGAGCCCGGGGCCGGCGGAGGCGCACCTGCTGGTGACGGGCTGTGAGGAACAGTAAAGCATTCCCTTGGACCCCAGGTTGGCTCCTGTGTTCTAGTTGGGGGTTCGGGAGGGAGTTTGGGCATTAGACAGGGTTCACTGCAGATTCCTAGGCTGGCAGATTAGAAACTAGAGGGTCTAAAGTGTTTTAGAATGCCTGTGACAAAGGGTTCATGGTCAAGCAAGTGCAGGAAATTCCCTGTGCCTTTCTTGGGGGTTCTTGATTAAAAGTGTGTTAAAGTCATTCATAAGTCCTGCAATGACCAACTCTATTTAGCTCTGTTTATCCCATACTTATGTAACCATGGAAACCTTTTACTGCGTAGTTTTCCTTCTATCCTTTTTACAGAGAATAAACTGAAGCCCACAATTAGTATATTCCTTATGCACTGCAGTAACAAATTGGAAGATATACTTGAAAAAGAAGGGGCCCCTTCACAGTTACAATTCCCATAAACTACAAAGTAGCATGCAAAACCTATAGGAAGAAAATGCTCTCTCCGGAAGGAGTTAGGCATACACCATGTACCTACATGGGAGAACATTAAAAGATGTTGGCCTGCAGAAACCGGTTTGGCTCAATGGGTAGAGCGTCGGCCTGTGGACTGAAGGGTCCCAGGTTTGATTTGGGTCAGGGGCGTGTGCCTTGGTTTCAGGCACATTCCCAGGGGGGGGGGGGGGTGCAGGAGGCAGCTGATGGATGTTTCTAGCTCTCTATCTCTCTCCCTCTCTGTAAAAACATTAATGAAATATATTAAAAAAAGAAAAAGATGTTGGCCTTGGCCAGTTTGGCTCAGTGGATAGAGCATCAGCCTGTGGACCAAAGGGTCCTTCGTTCGGTTCTGGTTAAGGGCACAGACTTCGGTTGTAGGCTCCTTTCTGACTCAGGCCCCGTGTTTCTCTCACATTGATATTTCTCTCTGTCTTTCCCTCTCTCCACTCTCTCAAAAAGAAAAAAATAATATATATATAAAGATATCTTTGGGTGAGGATTAAAAAAAAAAATGATGTTGGATTCTACCCAGCTTAATGCTTAAATTCATTGCTATTCAAAAAGGGTTTTTAACAAAACTTGAAAATCCAAAGTTCATATGCAGTACATTTTTTAAAAATGGTAGAGGTAAAGTGTTTACATACTAGATAGTCAAACACCAAAGCACAGGAGTAAAAACAGTATTGGCACAAGAATAAATTAGTGGAGTCGGGGAGAGGGTTCAGAAACAGCCCTAACTATTTCTGGGAATTCAGTTTGTGATAAAAATGATTATTCAAATTGGTGGTGAAAGATAGGCTGTTAATGGCTTTACAGTTATATCTATACGCTGAAAGGTTACACATCTTTCTAAGCAATTTTTCAAAGACCAAAATGAGTAAAAATGAGGCTTCACTTTTAGTGTAACTTGGTACAGCCTGTTGGGAAGATGATTTGATTACATTTCTAAAAAAGTTAAATGGATATTCCCTTTGGCTCGGCAAGTATACCTAAAGAACTTACACCTTAAATTTCTTTGTCCACTTAAGTAGCAAAATTGAGGGTAATGTTTAATACAACAGAACTTGTGATACTGGTAACGCCTTAAATGTCCATTAGCAAAGGACTAAGGCCAGCCACTGTAACCACATTGTGCAGCTGTTTAAAAAATGAGACATCGATCTGTTTTTAACAATATCAAAAAATATGTCAAATGAAAAGTGCAAAGGAGCATGGTTAGTATGGGCCAAATTACACATAAGTGCTTGTTTCTATAGAATATTTCTAGAAGGATACTTACCTGATTTTGGACTATAAATTTCAGCCACTAAGGCTTTCCCCATTTGTAAACCAAAACAGGTCCTCTTCCATGCTTTTGTCATTTCTAGACTTGGGCCACCGAGTTGGCAACTTCAGGAAATGTGTGCAGTCTAACTCCAGGCCCACGTGCCAGTCAGCAGCTGGCTCCAGCCTAGGACTGGCATGCCAGGTAGCACCAGGAATAGAAGTAGTGGGCAATCCCTTGATGTCAGGGGACAGACAGCATTGCCATGCCCAAGCTTTGGGAAAGGCCCTCATTCCTGTTCTTCATGATGCAGAAAGAATCATTGATCAGCCTCCTACACTGGGCATGTGCCCTTGACGAATCAAATCCGGGACCCTTCAGTCCACAGGCTGATGCTCTAGCCATTGAGCCAAACCAACTAGGACCTCATTCCTGTTCTTCATAGCCTAAGAAGGGGGCATGTAGCAACAGCAGGGGCCAAGGTGTCATGACTGCAGGAAGAGGGTACTAGTTTGACCAAGGGCACTCACTGCCCATCCACATCCAAAGCAAGACAAGCACTGACCCCAGATCTCCTGCCTGTTCTGGGGCCAGAGTCTGAAAGAAGGGGTCAAGAAGAAACAAACTAAATGGGGTTGGAACAGGGTGACTTTGGTTACTACTGACGTGATTTGTGACCTTGAGCAAGATGATTTATCCTGGGAGTTGGGGAGGCATCTTTTAGAAATTGGTATAAAGACACCATATATTGGGCATTTGTCTACAATGAGAAAAAGTGGGTCTGGGCCTAGACCACTCACTGACCCCTTGGTTCCCCTCTGACACTCCAGGCATCCCTTAGCCAGGCCTGCTTCCTGAGGACTTAAACAAGCTATAAAAATTAAAAAAAATTAACAGCTATATTAAGATGTAATTCATGTGCATACAGTTAACCCATCTGAAGTGTATAATTTGATGATCTTTAGTACTTTCACAGGGTTATGCAACCATCACAATCTAATTTTAGGATACTTTTATCCCCCTAAAAGGAACTTTATGTCCCTTAGCTGTCACTGCCTATTGATCTCTTTCCCCCTTGCCCCACACCCACCCGCACCTAATTCCTCAGCCTGAGTCAACCACTAATCTTATGTCTGTCTCTATGGACTTATCTATTGTGGGCATTTCATGTAGGGATCATGGAATATTTGGTCTTTTGTTACTGGCTTCTTAGCATAATGTTCTCAAGGTTCTTTCATATGGTTTTTCCTTTTCATTGTCAAATAATATTCCATTTTATGGATATACCACTTTTATTTATCCATCATCAGTGATTGGCAATGGGCTTCCATTTTTTTCAGTTGTGAATAATGCTGCTCATGAACATTCACAAGTTTTTGTGTGGACATATTTTTCAGTTCTCTGGGTATATAGACAGAAGTGGAATTGCTGGGTCATACAGTTACTGTTGTTTAACCATTTGAGGAACTGTCAGACTTTCCTAAAGTGGCTGCACCATTTTACATTCCCACCAACAGGGTATGAATGTTCGAATTTTCCTACATCTTCATCAACAGTGTTATTATCTGTCTTTTTTATTATAGCCATTCTACTGGATGTGAATTTCTGTTTTGATTTGCATTTCCCTAATGGCTAATGATGGTGAACATCTTTTCATGTATTTATTGGTTATTGTATATCACCTTTGGATAATGTCTATTCAAATCCTTTGCCCATTTCTTTGGTTGCTATTGGTAAGCCTCACCTAAGGATATATTTTTTCCATTGATTTTTCAAAGAGAAAGAAAATGGAAGGGAGGAAGAGAGAGGGTAGAGAAAGAGAAACATCCAACACATTGGTTGGTTGCCTCCTGCACATGTCCCACCCACGTGTGGGAGTGAACCCACAACCCAGGTACAAGCTCTTGTCTGGGAATTGAACCTGTGTCCCTTTGGTGCCTGAGCCGACGCTCTAACCACGGAGCCACACTGGCAAGGGCCTTTGCCCATTTTTTAATTGGGTTGTTTGACTTGCTATTAGTGTTAAGAGTTCTAGATATAAGTTCCTTATGATTTGCAAAAGTTCTCTCCCATTGTGTGGGTTGTCCTTTTACTTTCTTGTTGGCGTCTTTTGAAGCGCAAGTTTTACATGTTGGTGTCTTTTAAAGCGCAAGTTTTACATTTTGATGTCCAATTTATTTATTTATTTTTTTTGTTACTTGTGCTTTGACAACCATATATAAGAAATCATTTCCTAATTCCGGTCATGAAGATTTATCCCTATGTTTTCATCTAAGAGTTTTATAAGTGTTTATAATCCACTTATAAACTTAAAAGTTTAAAAATGAATATAAATGTTTTATAGCTAAGAGTGCTTATATTTAGGTCTTTGATCCATTTTTTATTAATTTTTGTATATGGTTTGAGGTAGGAAGTTCAATTTCATTCTTATATATGTGGATATTCAACTATCCCAGAACCAATTGTTGAAAAAGCTTTTCTTTGTCCATTGAATTATCTTGACACCATTGTTGGAAATAAACTAACTGTAAATATGAGGGTTTATTTCTGAGCTCTCAGTTTTGTTCCCTGAACATGCCTGTATATCTTTATTTATGCCAGCACCACACTGTTCTGCTTGCTGTAGCTTTGTAGTACATTTTAAAGTCAGGACCTGCGAGTCCTCCAACCTGTTCTTCTATTTCAAGATTACTTTTGTTTTTCTGGGACCCTGGCATTTCCATATGAATTTTAGAATGAGCTTATCAATATTTGCAAAAAAGAAACAAAAGAGAAAAGGAAATGAAGATAGCTGGAATTTTGATAGGAATTGCATTGAATCTATAGATCAGTTGGAGTATTGCCATCATAATAATATTAAATATTCTGACCAAGGAGCATGGGATATTTAAAATTTTTATTTAGATGTTTAGTTTCAACAGTGTGTTCTAGTTTTCAGTGTATAAATGTTATAGTTCTTTTGTTAAATATATAATTATTTTATTATTTTTGTTGCTATTATAAATGTAATTGTTTTCTTTGTATCATTTGTGGATTGTTCCTTGCTGGTCATGAGAAATACAATAGATTTTTGTACATTTTTCTTGTATCTGCAACCTTATTGAACTAGTTTATTAGCTTTAATAAACTAGTTTGTGTGTGTGTATTACTAAGGGTTTTCTATGTCATTGGTAAATAATTTGCTTCTTTTCTAGTCTGATATCTTTTATTTCTTTTTCTTGCATATTACCCAGGCTAGAACTTTCAGTACAGCAGTGTTTCCCAAAGTGTGGTACACATACCCCCAGGGGTACAGGAAGAGTTTGGTGGGGGTACGCGTTGCACCGGAGTTTGATGGGGATATGCACTGCACCGTGCTTAGCTGCGCCTAATTCTACGTTCTCATGAGTACGAGGGGTACTCAGCATTACGAAAATTATAGAAGGGGTACGTCAAAAGTTTGGGAAACACTGCAGTACAGTATTAAATATAAGGGTGGGAGCAGACACCCTAATTTCAGGGGCAGGACAGCCAATCTTCCACCATTTAAGTATGATGTTAGTAGTGAATTTTTGTATATACTTTTTGATAATCAGCAAGTGAAGGATGTTCCCCTTTATTCCTAGTTTCTTAAGCTTTTAAAAATTATGAAAGTGTTGGATTTTGTCAAATGTATTTTTTGTTTCTATTGAGATAATCATATTTTTTGTTGTTTAGTCTATTAATACTAGAGGTCCGATGCACAAAATTTATGCAAGAGTAGGCCTTCCTTCCCCCAGCTGATGACACCAGCTTCCCTCTGGCACCTCGGGCCCAGGCTTCCCTCGCAAGCCCTGGCTTTGTCTGGAAGGATGTCCAGAAGGACATCTGGTCTAATTAGCATATTATACTTTTATTATTATAGATTCTGTATTAC